CCTTGATCAAGCCCTATCAGGCCTGTTACATCCTCCTTGCCACTGATTGTGGATCACTTGTTGTTCCCTTGTCCCTGGGTTTGTTAACACCCACTTCCTTTCCTCCACCTTCCCCTCTTCCATTTCCCCCTGGAATCATAGGTCTCATTGGTTTCTCCTCCAGATTGTTTATCCCACCTATCTTATCTAGATAGGCCTTCAGAGATAATAATATGCACAAAAACAAGACAGCAAAAGAAAACAAAACAGTAACAACAAAAACAATGACCAAAAAAAAGAAAAAAGCCTGTAGTTCAAGGTCTGTTTGTTGACCCTTAGGAGTATGTTTTCCAGTCAAATCTGATGAGGTGCCACGCCCTACCCCAAAGTCTATTTTGGTATTCCCTCAGGACTTCCTTGTTCTGCTCCCCTTGCTGTTCTGTTGCATGCCCTTAGTGTTTTGCCTTGATGTGGTGGGGAAAGATTGGGTGCAATTCGCACACTGTGACTCCAGTGTTGTCCCCCATAAGGCTATGGGTCAGTGAGGGAAGTTGTGTCTCATAGTGGGGCGGACCCTATGGTCCTCTCTGTTCACTGGCTGCTCTGAGCAACAATATTGTCCTCAAGCCTTGGTGGGCCAGGATGTGATCCACTCTCTCTTCCTCCCCCGTCATTTGCTCCCATGTGCTCCCATGACCCTCTCCCTGAGCTGTAGTTTCAGTGCTGTCCTCTGAAGTAAACTCTTCTGGGGGCAGGGGCGACTGTCCATTTAGTTGGGATTGGGCCAGCCCCTCAGACCTCTCCACTGGTTCCCTGCTTTGTGCATTCACGTCTTGGAGCACAGGGTTGAAGTCAATCACGGAAACTTTTATTGGGCAAAACCACCAAAATGTAAAGGTATTGTTTCTTGATATCTTCTCCATCTAGGTCTGTACATTTCTTAAAGACAGTGTTTCCATCTCACTAATCCAGTGATTCTCAATCTGTGGGTCAAGACCCCTTTGGGGGTCATACGACCCTTTCACAGGGGTTGCCTAAGACCATCAGAAAATACATATTTCGATGGTCTTAGGAACTGAGACACTGCTCCCCTATGCATACCCAGGTGGGTCCACCCACATGCAGATACACACACATATGAGTACCCAGCATGAAGACTGTTACCCATGCTACACCATGCTTCAAGACACAATTTCATTATTTGTCATTAGACATAAATATTTCACAATATATAATTACATTTTTTTGTGATTAATTACTATGTTTTAATTATGTTCAATTTATAACAATGCAAGTGGATCCTGTATATCAGATATTTACATGACGATTCAGATAGCTACATGACAGTAGCAAAATTAGAGTCATGAAGTAGGAATGAAAATAAATTTATGGTTGGGGGTCACCACAACCTGAGGAACTGTATTGAAAGGTCACAGCATTGGGAAGGTTGAGAACCACTGCACTAACCCAAGAGAGCGTACGTTCTCATAAAAAAGGTCTGCTACTGGCAGTATTGTTAACTGTTTCTAAGACATTAAGTTCACATACTGTGTATATAGAGAGAGATGATAGATATAGAGAGACCTTTACTAGAAAGTCAGTCATTATTGTTTTTGACATTAGTACGATTTTATAAATAGAAGTGTTCCTGCAACTAATACTTTATCTTGGTGAGGCATGTAGAGAGAGATGAGTTTTTGAGACCAGTATCACCATAGTGATCAGAATTTCCACTGCGGGTTAGAAAAATAATGAGCACAGTTTCAGACCTCCAACTACAATTAACATGCAATTCACTTAATAGACAGGTGATTAAGCATTTTCTCAGACTCAAGTGAACTAATTTCCATCCATACTTCAATCCTGAATACATATATTTTTTATGTGGCTCTCTTTCTTGCTGCGCCACTGAGGAAAATCAAAGGCTTTGACCTTGAACATCACATATGCCACAAAAAGAAAGTTTCTGTTTGTTGGGGTTTTTTTTAGTACATAAAATTATGACTAGCCTTGCTCCAGGAACAAGGTAGAAATCCTAATGTGATCATTTTAGTGATTACAAGCATAAAGAAAAAAAAGAAAAAAAGAAAAGGGAAATATGTTTTGAAAGAACCATTAAAAGAACATTAAACAGAAAAAAAAATCACTCACTCAACTTATCTAGATGCACAGTCATAACGAACTATATAATCAGTCAGAAAAATTGGATTTTAAGCTGAGGCAACAAGCACTAAACTGTCAATGTCGTGTGAGCATATATGCTTACCAAGGTTTCATGATCTTCTGTAGCTTTTGGTATCGTCTGTAAAAGATTTTAAAAAAAGTCATGTGAGGAGCATGTTTAAAAGTAAGAATTTTCACACAAAGAATTTTTTTAATTTTTAAACTCCATATGACCCATCCCTTTGCTGCTCCAGGTGGCTATCAAGTTACCTCTAGCTCCTGGTGACTGTAAGTACCTGTGCCATCTTCCTATCGGTACGTCTAAACACACTTAGCTACCATGAAGTCAGGAAAATTCGTCCCCTTTAAAAATGATGCAAAGTAAGAATTTCATGTCCCTTAGGATGCAAAACAAGCATTAAACACCTTAGGCCACTGTTATCAACCCAATGGAATTACTTATGACTAGAGTAGGCCTATGAGCCCTGGTGGTGTAGTGGTTCCACAGTGGGCTGCTAACTGCAAGGTAAGCTGTTCGAAATCACCAGCCGCTCTCTGGGCAAATGGTGAGGCTTTCTGCTCCTGTAAAGACTTCCATCTCAGAAACCCCCAGGGGCAGTTCTAGTCCTGAAGGGTCCGGTCCCTGTGATTTGGAATCAACTTGACGGCAGGGAGTTGGGCCCCTTTTTAGGAGCAGGTGTGTGGTCCACGGAGCAAAATGTCTACAGAGAAGTATGGAAGTATTTTCCATTTAAAAAACAAAAAAGCTGAAAAAGCACTACACCAGTTGTTCTTAAACACATATACACCGATGAACAAATAACTGGTTATCCTTCTTGGGTGAAAAGGTCACTATATCTGCTAGGTAGCCAGCACAGGGACCAGGCTGTCTACTGGGCATGCTCCAAATTCAGGCTCTAAGCCAGGAAGGGGCAGGACACCTGGGTGGGTCCCTATCTAGGCCAGGGGGGCTTCATTCAGCCAATGGGGTCAACCAGCACCGTTGGCCACGCATCCCAGTGGAAGGCCCCCCAAAACCTGACACCCCCTTTTCCTTCCTGCTGTTCCTCTGCGGTCACATGGCCGGGTCACAGTCTCTCTCTGTCCTCAGCCACCACATGTGGCTGTGCAGTGCCCTGAGGGTGCTTGTGTTTGGTTACTGTAACCCCGAAACTGCTTCCATCCTTTATAAAAACCCACTTGGATCACAAACCAGGCTTCGGCGAGAATTCTTTCTCCTGCGAAGCCAAGGACTGAGGCATTTCTCACCTGAGAAACCTAACAATTCTACTTTCTCTTAAGGAACAATGTAGACTCTCCTGTTTGAAGACACCTGCAGGTTCCAAGACTCTTGAGCATCAAGGCCTGACCCTAGGATGGCAGCCTGCAAAAATATTGTACAAGGGCATCTGTCGGCAAGAACTGACAATTATGCTTCTCGAAACCTGGGTTTAAGAAGTTCCTGCTCAAACGACTTGCCATTCTTCAAATTTACCAAACTCTCCCACTTTAAGGATGTTCTTCCTCCTGCGTGTATACTTTGACCTTCTTTATCTAAAACCCCAAACCAAAACCACTACACACAGGTCAATCCTGACTTCGGCCCATTCTGTTAGCATTAGCATCCCAGTATGTCAATCGAGCTCCTTCCAGCAGAAGCAGCTCTGGATAAATTCATGGCTGAGTCACAGGTAGTGCTTATGTCTCAAATTTTGCAGCCCTGCTTTGGCTTCAGACGAAGCCTAGGCAGAAGGAGGAATTTTTGCTGCCGTGATCCCTCAGTTTTCCCATATTGAATAATCTCTTTCTCTATGCCCCTTTCTCTAAAAAACAAAAAACCACAAGTTTTTATTTGAAGAAGCCAGCAAAAAGAAATCACTCAGGAGAGGCTCAAGTTTCACAGTGGCCATCCACCTCCACCCACAGCCAGGCATTCTTGTCCACAGGAGAAGAGAACCCCTTCTCTACCCAGGCTGTGTGACCCCCTTCTCATTTCCATCACCCTGTGTTTGACAATAATGCTCACACAAAGGAAATGGGGCTGGAAGGGGGCAGATCCTACTTGAGGAATTTTCTGCCACACAACTTACAAAGCCCAAGAAGGTTGGCCTCTTGGGCCCTTGTGATGCAAATTTGTAGCAGGGCCCCAGAGAACTGTGACATTTGGTTTCAGTTGGGCTCCCTGTCCCCCCACCCCCACCCCAAACTATGCAGAGGGCATGACCTAAGAAAATGGGCCAAAGGAAGAGCAAATGGGAAGACCAGACAGCCTTCACAGTTGGAGCTGGCTCTGCAAAGACCCCATGGAGCTGCTTCATTCAGCTTCTATGGGAGAGCGGCTACTCCCCCACTCAGCCCCCATGGAGGTGACATTCAGGCCACATGGTGCAGTCTGGCTCAGCTGCCAGGGAAGGAGTCTAATGATCAATGCTGCCTGGCCTGCGCTCAGCTGTTTGGCCAACACCTTTCAGAACAGGCTTATAAGGGACACTGAGTTCTCAGTCAGAGGTGATCAAACATTTATTTTCTGTGTGTCCATAGCAGTTAACACAGGTAGTTCCAAAATATAAACCCATCTTTTATGAGAATAGGAAAATACCCGAAAAGGCCACCGATCTTTGAGAGCCTGCATTCTTTTCTTTGTGTTTCCCCAAGTTCCCTCACGTATCTGACCCACTTTCAGGAACAGTGCTCATCATTCAAGTAATACATACTCCCCAAAATGAATAAACCTCAAAAATCCATCCTCAGATTTTGGGCTGGCATCTGTTTCTAGCCCCACTCTAAGAACAATTCGTTCTTATGCTTTGACCCTCCTCGACGTTGGTTCTCAGGAAGAGATCGCTGCAGATGCGGATGCTGCAGCAAAGCGTGATGAAGAAACCAGGTAGTGCCAGGCTGCCCCAAAGAAGTGTGTCTGGAGTCCTACAGGTTTGTGTTAAGAGAAGCAGCCATCTAAGTGAGGCACCAACTAAGTCCACGTGGAAGAAGCACACCAGTCTGTGTGATCCAAGGACTGTAAATAGTAAAGTCCAAATCTGAAGGAGGGAATTATTTTGTTTATTTGTTTGCTTACTTCCTATTTGAGTTTTGCACGAATTTCTATAGGATGGGTAAACCTATTGAGACAGTAATTGGATTCATAATTACCTAGAGGCATGGAAGGGAAGAATGGAGGGAAATGGGGAGCTAACAACACTGAGTAGGAGAAGAAACAGACTGTAAAATTGATTATGGTGATGATTGCACAACTTTTCTTAATATGATTAAAAGATTAACTTGTATGGTACATGAAGTATACAGCAATAAACCAAATTTTAAAAATCCATTCTCAAGTGTGGGTGGTGGGCAACCTCAAAGCCAAGACATTTGGGGTTCTTAATTCAAGTTACACCTCAATTTTCAAAATTACTAAATGGCCACAGCTCTGCTGACACCAGGATAAAAGGATTGAATTTTTATATAGAACAATTCTTCTGTTCATGTAACAATGATACCAGCTATTACACACACACACATGTACCAACACATACACAATAACTACATAAACCTAATCCAGTGCCATCAAATTGATTTCGACTCATAGCAACCCCACAAGACAGAGTAGAACTGCACCCTAAAGTTTCTGAGGCTACCGTCACCGGAAAACAGTCTCATCTTTCTCCTGAGGAGTGGCCTATGGGTTTGAACAAGCAACCTTGCAATTAGCAGCCTGCTTCATGTAAGCTGCCGTGCCACCAGGCTCCTTATAACTATACCAAACCAAAACACCTAATTCATTGCCATTGAGTCGATTCCAATGTACAGAGAAGGAGCCCGGTGGCATAGTGGGTTACGTGTAGAGCTGTTCATCATGTAGTTAGTAATCTGAACCCACAGGCCTCTTCTCAGAAGAAAGGTGAGACTGGAGTATGAGGCAATCTGTACTGATAGACAGCCTTGGAAGCCCTCGGGAGCAGTTGCCCTCTGCCTTATAGAGTCAATATGAGTGTAACTACTCAAAGAGGCTTCAAAAAGTTCATGGGCAAAAAATTCCATTAACTGTCCATCTCACTTTTCCATGAACTTTTTGAAGTCCCCTCATATATACAAGAGCAATCAAGTCTTCATCTTTGCAGTGAATTATCCCTAAGAGGGATCATAAGGAGCCCTGGTGGCATAGTGGTTACAGGCTGGGCTGCTACCTGCAAAAGCTCAGCAGCTGGAAATCCCCAGCTGCTCCACGGAAGAAAGAGGAGGCATTCTACTCCCATGGAGAGTTCAAACTCTCTCACTGCTGACTCACAGTAACCCTCTAGGGCAGGGTACAGCTGTTCCTGTGAGTTTCCAGGGCTGTGGCTCTTAGAGTAGGAAGCCCTTCTTTCTATAAAGGAGTGGTTACCCAACCAGGGAGTTACAGCCTTGCAATTCCACCGTGGCAGTTCTAGCTTGTAAGGACACGGGGCCGCCATGAGTTGGAATCCACTTAGACAGTGAATTGTTCTTTGTTTTGTGTGTTAAGTACAGGGGGGGTGATTATTTAAATGGCCCATCTTGTTTCTTTTTGACGGCGTTGCATCCCTTTAGAGATAACTACGGTGCTCCTTTCCCTGTTCCTAATACAGCCAAAGTTTTGGAAAACAGACTCAATGAATTAAGTCGAACAGCAGTTGAAAGTTCCCAGATTTGTTACGACTCTTCAAATACCTCGCTGCTGTGTTCACAGGAAACCTAGGGACATTGAACCAATAAGTACCAATATGACCAATATGTACCAAGGTCTTGGGACAGAAACACACTTCTGGGAACATCTCTGAAAAGCATCAAACCCATTACCACCAAGTGGATTCCAACTCACAGCAACCTGCTAGGGCAGAGCAGAGCTGCTCCACAGGGCTTCTGAGGCTGTCAATCATTACGTAGCAGACTCCCATAAGCATTCTTCCCAAAGGTGTCTGGTGAGTTCACACCACAGACTTTTTGGTTCCCAGTTCCAATGTTAACCCACTGCACCACCTGAGCTCCTTCCTGGACACACAATCCAAAACCACAGCCAAATATCAAGTCTGACACTTACTGATGCTCTACAAGGTTTCTGAGACTCTACATCTTGATTAGAGCAAACAGCCTCATCTTTCTCCACAAGGTTTGAACCACCAA